AATTCATAACCCATATCACGCAAGCTGTAGCCCAATTCATAGCCATATCACCCAAGCTGTAGGCTAGAACACCTACCGGTATGTAAGGTATAGGCGCAGCCAGTCCTTCAGCCAAGCCACCCCAGCCATAATTAAAAACCACCCAAGCATTAGCCAAACGTACAATGATAATCTGAAACACTTTGGTATTATATGTAATTTCTGAATATTTAGGTCCAGATTTACACATGTACTCAAGGTACTGTTCCTTCAAAACAAGTGTTCTTTATTTACTCAGTTTCACAAAAGTCATAAGCATTTATCAGAATAGTTCTTTTTGTCAGAATTACATGCAGGGAGAAAAGCATTATTGACACTGTATTATGTCATTTCAGTTTGATGCGTGGAGTTGCTAGGTTCAACACACCGTCATCGTTAGATTCCTCAGCAGATGCTTCTAAACGTGCTGCTTACGTCAACTTGGTCATACGTATGTTGTGTAAATGTTCCAGCCTGGATGACTGCAGCAAGGATTGGTTCCCTGCCCCTGTACAACGGTTACTCAATGACATCGAGTTGTTAGCTACAGCAGGTGTGTAAGCAGACATTCCAAATGTGTTTGTTTTATCCAGTGTGCTTGCTCACTTTTGCCAGAGCAACTTTTATCAAACAACTTTCAGTTGTTTGTGTTGTAGAATTTTTGGCCCATTTAATTTGTTGTCACATAGAATCTGTGCATGAGTTCTGTGTTTAAAAGGATAAAAACGCTTGTCCTCAAATCCCCAATAAAATACTTGAAATTGAAACAACTGAATCACGGAAAATCTCATTTAAGTACCTTTCATTTGGATCCAATCGTTTTTCTTGTATACCTCATTTTTAGGCACCAGCAGATTAATTTGGGTAGGAAGTTCATGCCATTTTGTCTTGTCTTTTCAATTACAGGTGGTTCAACTGCAGACAGACAACAGGAGTTAATATCCCTTCTTTCAACCCTCCTTTCTCTTCTTAACAACTGCTCTCCGACTCGTGGTGCACCTGACGCCATCTTGGGTGCCTTACTTGTCTGGTTTGAAGCATCAACAAGCACTGCTCTAGCGTTACCATGCATAACAGCAGCATGTCGTACTCTAGCGTCCATCAAGCACTCAGCGCTAGTTGTGGAGGCTTGCATAGAGGCACACTTCAATACGGGTAAGAATATCGAGTCAAGTAAATTCTAATCAAGTAAAGAAAATGCATAACACGTGCATTGCCCATGGCTTTCAGTCTGGTTTATACTTCATTCACAAACAAATTGGCTGAGACTTAAACAGTTATTTGTTCTAATTTCCCTCAACACAAATGTTTGCCAATGCCACATATTTGTGTTTGCTGTTATGCCTGTTAGCTTGATGTGAATACTCAACACCAACTCAAAAATTGAGGAAAATTAAAAGTAGCCCTATATTTGTTGAAGTGCTTTCTGTTGACTTGTTTATGATACCAATGGGTACGTCAATGCAGTTCAATTATACATGTACATGTAAGACCCTTCGAAAGGTTTTCTCACTTTATAGTTTGGACAGAGGTGTGCTGGCAAACACATACATGTACATATATGCAATTCAATAAAGCATCTCCCTCACTCTTCGGTCAAACCAATTGGAATCCTGATCAAGAACCTCGATGTTTCTTCCCATTGATAGCATTTGTATTGGATAACATGTTTGACAGGGAAGGGTTCTTTCATGTTTTGTAGTAACATTTCCTTCTAACTTGTATTCTCACCTCCTAGACATGGACTTGTCCCCGGACCCCTCCCGTGGCTGGACCAATATCCTGCAGGTTCTCCAGGTTCCAGAGCTTACCCATGACGAGTTCCTCGAGGAGTGTTCCAAGCAGGGTGCCATACTGACACTTTTTGCCTACATAGGTCAAAGGTCACCTCAGTGCCAGACTTTAGAGGAGGAGTATACTTTGTACACAGAGTTGATCAACTGGTGCGTTAAATGCAAACTCAGGTGAGGAGACATTTCATAATTTTTGAAATTCTCTGATGAATTAGACTACAAATTTAACGTTTAAAAGCAATTGACACAAATATCTGAAAGAAGTTCACTGTTACTACCCCTGTTCACCGGGCCAAGGTATCTGCAGATTTTAATTACCTTCACGGAAGCTCATTTTTCTTGAGAAGGAGAAAGGCAAATGTAGCAAAGTGTCAGTCCCAAAACACAAACTCTGCAGGTCCTTACCAAAGTTTGAACTCGCTTACCACTACACTCCTTGTGAGAAAAATTGCTTTGTATGAAGTTACGTTAGACCTTGATACCATTATGATCGACACATAATATCCTGGGCAATGACCCCTACAAATTTTTCTGAGGCACCCCTTGTATTGCAGTTCACACTCTTGAAGAAACTATGTAATGAGGGTTGAAAAAATTCCAATTTTAGAGGTAGTAGGTGTACCCATGGTTAACATTCTGGATGAATGATGATAGGATCTGAAAAACATGGCCCAGTTCAGCTTTGATCACAGATGTAGAAGGTGTAGAAGCAAGGAAGGTCTTATATCAGAATGGTCTGTGTTGGTTAACATTACTCATGATATGCATGGTATCAGCTGTCTCAATGGAAGAGCAAGTCATACCTTATCAGGAGATCAGTGTTGAGTGGTATTGATCACCACGCAATCATTGCTGTTTGAATCTGTTCCTGGATGTGACTGATTCCCACTACTTGGAGGTAATAAACTTTGAACGGACCTTTCTCCTGTTGACAAGTATCACAGACTGATTTGTATGAGTAGCTAGAGTTTGCAGCATCTTTGGTAGGCCAGAGCCTTTGCCTTCAAATGCTTATTTGTTCTAGTAAAGTTCAGGAGGTATTTTTATTTACCTTTTGTCTGAAGTACGTGTAGTCATTTTGTGTTTTTACTCCTGGGATATTTTAAGAACTTTTGTGAATTTTATATTTTTATTTTGGCTTTAGTCGGCAAAACTCTGTGTGAAGTTCTTAACTGTGACTTGACATTACATGTTTCTATGGTTACTGTCTCCAACCACTATCATAAGCTTGTGTGTAATCTCAAGCAATAGCTACATGTACATGTAGTCAATTCAGACAGTGCAGGCCAGTGACTACAGCGTACCCTTGTAACGAATGGGTCTAATGTCCGAATTTATTTCATTCCTGTAGGCCTGCCAACGAAGCCAAAGTCTTCTTGTGGTGGCACAAGGCCTTACAGATGACCTTTCACCAGATTGAATTTGGCTCACCTCATTATACGATGTCTCGCTCCTTAAACAACCTCATTCCCACCATGATGACGTTGGGTGAAGATCGTAGTTCGGCAGGGCTTCTAGGGGCCATTGGGTTTGGAAGACAGTCAGAACTGTCTTACAGGTACGATGAACTAAGTGACACTGATTGTCATGACCATGGAGTCAAGTTTGAAACCAGAAGGCTTAGTTTGGGGTTCTAGGGTGTGGTTTCTTTAAGATATTTGATAGGAATTCTTTTGGGGGGAAAATGTAAAAAAGTTGAGGAATTCTTCCTAAAATTTGAAAATTCTTGGACTGTTTAAAAAATATAAAATTGTTGTTGGATAATTGATAGTTGTTGGATAGTGAGATTTTGAAAAATCTAACACTATCAATTTTGTATGATACGTTATAGAGTAACACAACCAACTATTGTTGTGGTGGATAAGAAACTGTAGAAATCCATCACATACATGTACCATTAATGACACCAAGGTTTGATCAGTTCGGATTCCTTGTTGTGGTTGGTTTAGATTCCGCGTCGTCGCCAGATGCATGGCTGCCTTCGTCTCAGCTCAGGTGCTGCAAAACGGAATGCTTCGACTGGCACCCAATGATCCCGGTGCCCTGACCAGACGTAGAGATACACAGCCACAGTCACCCACTTCCCCAGATGCCCCCAAGCCCTCAAGCATAGCTTACTCTGCCCTCAAACACCTTGATGCTGCCATTGACAATAAGAACTATGTAGGGCTGAGTGAGCACGCTCAATATGCAAGGGACGTAGTGCTCAACCCAGTCAAGTGTTTGAAGGATGCGACCCATCTTTTGAGTCAGCTGACCACAGTAATGTTTCCAGAGAAGCATTACCTGTCCGTCATCCAAACAGTATAAAGTCACATTCATTATCTAAAATCCAGAGAGATTGTAAATAATTCCACAATTTGCAATGTAGGATATTCTGACATGTAATGGCTCAGTACGTGAGTAAACGAGGGCAGTCTTTGGACAACTCCTGAAAGTGTGGTGAGGGCACTAGAGTAAGACAGAGCATGCAAACGATGTTCAGTGTTAAAAAAAAGCAATGGTGAATGGAATGTTAGTCTGCAACAATTTGCACTGTCTTCAAAATGATTTGCTTTTTTTCCTGAGTTCCTTCCTGGATGTATTTATTCTTGTATGTGCTTGACAGACAACTCGTAATGTTTGAAATAAAATATTCTGGACTTTTCATGTACATTTTGAAAAGGCCTTTCTAGTTGGATGTAGGCCAAGCCTAAGTGAAACTTTTCCCGGCACATATGTAAACCTCTCTTGATCCTAACAAAATAGGATAAAAAGAACAGAAAATGGCATAAGTTACTTTCGGCAAAGGAGCATGAGATAGTAATGTGCAGCTTGCAATTTGAAAGATAAAGCTGTCAGATCTTACCAATGCAGTACATGTACCAGCAGTTACCTCAAATCATACGCTGCCATGCACCTACAATGTGTATGTGCATTTATTGTACCCCAGGGACATGAAATTTGACACTCATTTCAAGTCGGTGGGTAGATCAAGAAAAAGGTCTGACAAAATCATGCGATTTTAGATAATAATAAAATTTACCTTTTTTGATGCAATTTCACCCTTTCTTTGCTGCTGTGTAAATAGTGTTTCAGTCCTGGCTTAGGTTTTGGTCAGAATATGCCGCATATCAAATACCACAAAATACAAAGGTCTTTATCTGTATTCAACAGTTTCATAAAAAACACAAGAACCGTGTCTGAAAGGGGAGACTTACATGTATCTATAAGCTTTGAAGAATGTAAAAATGACAAGGTCATACACTTTGTGTGATGACCCGAAAACTCTAAAACTTACAGCAAAGGTGTCATTTCTATTCTCTATCAAGTCTAATCATTTTTTTAAATTTTCCCTGCAAGATTGCTTCATATTAATTTGAATTCTTTTTCTGTAACAGTAAAAATTTATTCTTTTAAAGTGAGGTTAATGCTTTATCTGTTTTGTTGAAAAATTCATGATAGAAAGAAAAATACGTAACTGTCTTTGGATGATATTGGTTTTGTATACGTAGTCCATCCTTAAAAATATGTTGACTATACAAGCTGACAATGTATGCATAAATTGTCTTTGCAGGTAATTGCGTCCAAAGAGTAGGAGCATTGGCCAATATTGCCAAGTTAATTAAGTCACTAAGCTGACTTGACAGTGAACCGGTCACAAGCAATGTTTATCAATGTCGTGGTTGGTAACCTGCCTTATTATTATGTACAATGTAAATGCTGCTAGGCTCATTTGTGTACCTGTCTATGGCTTTCAACATTTTCCCTCTTGGTTCAACCTTTCCAGTCTCTGAAGTATTAAGTGTTGATTGTAAACAATAGTGATAAGTTAGGCAATATGCCAGTAATCGTTTACAAAATCTACTAATCAACAAGTGCCACTTTGTATGACTTTCTGACCTGCAGTAAAAAAAATTAAATTTGTTTTTGTTGTTGTTGTTGTTTTGGCTTTTTTTGTGAGCCACTTTGCTCAAAAAGGGGGTAAAAACAAACCAAGCAAACATTGGAGCTGGTATTAACTATGCCCTATTTATCACATCCTAAATCTCAAAATAAACAGGAAAAAAATTGACGTGTACCAAGTGAGGCCAAATGTACTCGTTGCATACTGAATCCCAGTACATACATTTGTAACATATGTTATATTAATAAGAAGAAATAACTGCTAAGCAATAAACCTTTTGTGAGTTAAATTTGATTACAATGTCGTACACCGAATTATCTGATTGCACAGAAACATGATAGTTTTAATTCCAGAGAAAAAGGCACTGTTGCTATACCTCATGATTCTGGGAAAGCTTTGCGTAGCAATCCCCATACATATATCTGGGATGGACTGGTTCCTTTCTGCCCTTCTTATCCATTGAAAACACTGTGTGTAAGGGAGCAAGGCTTGCCCCAAATCACGAAGTACAGCAAAAGTGTCTTTAGTTATTAATTATTACGTGAATTTTAAAGAAATCAGTGTACCAGATTTTATTCAAATTGAACAGACAAAAGGCTTATTGGTTAGAGGCCAAGAGATAAACCAAAAATATTTGTAAAATGTGCCCTGAGCATGTAGACATCTTAGACCACAATGTATCTATGGATTGTACTAAACTTTAAAACTCAAATGTCTGCAAAACTGCAGAATATGTCTGTGAACTTCAAAAGGATTGTACACTATCAAAATGAACAAATTAGCCATTCTGATATCAGACTGCCTCACAAGTGTTATGGAACTTTTTCAGTTACTAGCTAGCTATTTCCGTGGTATTGTATTGACAAGTTAGTCTGAAGTTCCATGCATAGCCTATTAAATCAACAATTCAATTTGGGATTTGTATGCATACTATTAAGTATGGGAAGATGGTCACACATGTAATTGGAGCTAAATGGAATTGATATGTATTGTAAGCGCCCAGGAGAATCGATCTTCGATGGAAGGGCACTATACAAATGTAGTATTATTATTCATCAGCAAAGTGAACTTGGACTGAGTCAGTCGGTCTACACATTTTTGCCAACTCCTTCATATTTCTGTAATTTGTGACATTTTCGGGGCAAGAAAAGGAAAATTAGTTTTGACATTGACAAGATAAGCCTTTCTGTGCTGAATACACATTGATATGTTCAACACAATTGCAATTTCTAATTTGCAAACTCGGATTACATGTATAGATTTTGGCTGGAACCTTGCAACTGGAGCTATTCGCTTTCCTTTTTCACTTTATCGTTAATGCATTTTTTACAGGCAAAGTTGTTAAACAGTTGAGGCGAATTGTAATTTCCAAGGTTACTTTCATTCATATTGTCGTCAACCTTTTGGGTTAACGTATTTTCTGTCTGCCTGCCTTGTATTTGAAATGTACTGGTATGCAGAAAGGTGACTTTTGTAATTTTGCCAACTGCTGGTTCATGAAAAGTTTGCCCAACTTTGTCCATGATATTTGTGTCAAATAATCTTCAACAAAAACATTTCATAACATGAAAAAGAGAGGAGATTCTTGAATTGTGTACGGCCTGATGCTCGTTGCAGCCAAACCAAATGATCTTGTGAGCTCCACTGTGATTTTTGCCACATGAATGAACATTGCAATAAAATTGAAACATGGAAAGAAATATCTAACAGTTTGATTGTTGCAGAGGATGCTGTTTAATTTATCTAGACTTTGTAGTGTGTAAGAATTTAAACAACTAATTTTTCCGGCATACTGAATTAAGTTAAAAATTGTCAGATGAGCATTAATAATTATGACTTGTGGCAATTACGGTCAACGATACACAATGTGACCTACCATTGTGAAGGGTGCAATGTTCTTATAATAATCCTTTGTTGGGGAATTGTACAGTCAATACCCAATGACACTTTGGTCTCAAAATCTGTTTATATCATGTTCAGAACATCCATATTCCACATACTTTTTTGTTTGGGGGGGAGGGTTGCAATTTCGTGTTGCAAAATGAATGAAAATTCCAAAGCTAAGCCACAGCAGAAGTGATGTAGGGAAGTTAATAAGGTCCATAACCAAACATTTCCTGTCAGTCACACAACAGCTAATGAACCATTAAATTATGTTTAGCTGTGCCAGAAACTGAGATTCAGAGTCACAGTTGAGTCTTTGGCAAGTACTTAGTTTAATACCAAATACTGAATTGTTCATCTTAAAGAAAGCAAGAGGAACATTTACAGAGAAGACAATTGAAGTCATTGCTGTAAAAGACAAAAACTATAATTGATACTTCAGATAAATAAATATCTTGTTTGAGACAAAAGGTAGTCAGTGANACAGTAAAGTTGGAAACATTTTGTGCACGTTCTTATGGGAATGTCTCCCTAATGACCCATTAGCAGTAATTATTATATTTACTGTCATAAAAGCTTAGTTATTACTGGTTGGTCAAAGTCTAACTTCTTGTGGTATTATTGTCTAATTTTTTTTAGAGAGTAACTGAACTGTCTTAACATCTAGCAGTAAACTTGGTACATGGAAAGTACTTGATTACATATATACAATGTATATTAAACTGCAGTCAGACTGCTGACTCTGTATTTCAAGTCATGATCAAATTTTAAACTTTGAGATGAAATCTCTCATCAAGCATTAATCACTGCACAGTGCTGTATTCACAGATACATCCACACAAGGATCCAAGTCCAGATGACACAGAAGAAGGCATTTCATAAGTTTAAAATTGCAGTTGAAATAAGGACATCTGAGGTTGTCTTACATCTTGTAACTGCTGGGTGGATCAACCCTGCCATCTGTCCAGATGGTTCACAATAAATTATCTTAGACAGCTACTCCAGTCACTGGCAAAATGTTTTAAGGCACCGTCAGTCAAAACTTGAACAAACCTTAAAAACAATTACACAGTAATACACCAGGGCACTTTTGACACTTATTCATTCAAAGGGTGTTGATTTAATAAACACTTTGCATGACAAAGCTTTTCATGGAAATGATTGTGCGGATTACATCAGTTACTAGGGAATTAGCTTCCATGTAGGTCAGTTAAGCAGGTCTACTTTCATTCATGGCCGGAGTTATTTTGCAGCGTCACATTCTCAGGCCATTGTTTGATATCTAGGAACTACTGAAATGGCATTCCAATTAAAGGGAACAATGATGATATCCTCATATATGTGCGTGTAAAATCTATGCTAGGTCCTTTTACACAAGATTTCCAAACATGGGTAATTTGAACAGATCTTTGCAATTCAGGTACACTGCTTTTCATCTGTTCCTTTCAAAATAAACCAATGTCTTTGGCAATGAAAGATTTGGCACTCATTACTCCAAAAATTATACAGTTTTGTTGATGCCGAAATGCAGGAGTTTCGAAATAGGTTGGTGCGTATAAGGGTTGATCCTGTTCAAAGCACTTGGAGGTCAATCAATGAGTTTTACGAGTAATCATTCTCAACTTGAAACCATACCCCTCCCCCCAAAAAGGTTTAGAATTCTACCACCTTTAAATTGCACCTGTCATTAAGATGGTGTGGAATGTTGCTGGGCATGATGCAGGCCAGAGCATAGAGCCCCCTCCCCCCAAAAAAGCTTGTCACTAAGTTTTGCAGTATCTGTAACAGAAGTGTCCCCAAACTCCTTTTTTTACGTGGCCATGCATTCAACATTTTTTGGCTACTTTTGGGTTTTGGCAAAGACCAGAATATCAGGAATAATGTTCCAATTGTTTCCCCACTCCATGTTATTTGTCATTTTACTGAACAGTTCAATTTGTTTATCTCCACTGATTAGGAAAAGGCTTTGGCTCTTAACTTGGTTCCCAAGATGCAAGGAAAGCTGTGCAGTCCTGAAGCAAGTGTCCCCAAATGTCCAACCAGGGAGCTCATAAATGAACTGGTATGGGTACATTCCAAGTCCTTGGAACTGGATCCCAACATTACCCACCTCCAAATCTGAGCAAAAAAGTCACCCCCAAGGAGGGTAGCTGGGACAGACAACTCGCCCCTAGACATCGACTCTGTCTCCCGCTGTGTCAGCGTACGGGGAATCCCACACCACTAACCCAATTATGGCTCCACACTATCCCTCAATCAGCCAATATCCGGGCCAAATTGGAGTTTATCGGAAGCACCCAAGCCGTCAACCTTATCTAGGGAGTTAGAGTCCTGCGGTTGCATATCAGGGCAACAAATACTAGACTGGGCCGAGGTAGATCTGTCCCGCACACAACCAGAGTGTCACAAGCACAGGAAATACAATGCGACCACACCCATTCCTGATTGGTATTACAGACAGAGATAGCGGCCACACAGAAACAAAATTATGTTATGCTCACCTTCATTGATGCAGCACTGCAGGATTTTTTTAAATCAAGGTCTACAGATGATAACACCCTTGTTTACTCAATATGTTACAGCCACACCTGTAAGTGAAGTTTCAGTTAGCAATAATTGGGCCAGATGCAATATACAGGTGATTCACAATAGTGCGCCTCAAATGCGTGGGCCAATCACAACGCGCAGTCTGTTGACCCTTTTCAAAAATGCACTGGGTCGACAGATGTCATGCGTCGTGATTGGCAAACACGTCGCAAACTCTTGGAGGCGCACTTTTTTCAATTGCCCCTTTTCTGTAGGAACAGGCAGCAATCAAACTTGAGGCAAAGAGAATTTAGAACAAGTCAAAATCTGACCTTGGGTACTTTTTCTACATAGCTCCATATACATGTACTTTGTACATGTACAAATGTAGGAGAAGGGCTGACTCTGGTGTAATGTATACTTTCATATTTAATGGTAAATTTAATCTGTATTCAATTCCCTTGTTTAACTACCGGTACATAGTATTTAGTCAAACCAATAGCAACACAAGTACCCCTACATAGGCACCTGTACACAAGTATACACGTAAGTACTTAGATCAAGTTGATGGTGGAACATGCTTCTTCAGCAAGGTTATTTTTAGAAATGTTACCCTGTCAACAAACAATGCTATTGAGTTCGGTAGCAATACTATGTAATAGTCTTTATGAAACCAACTGTACGGTAGGTTGACAAACATCATTTTTAATGATGAGCCACACCCCAGCACAAGGTCAAAACGAATCCCGGTTCATATGGTTTAGAATACCTTCACTCTTAGGTTATAATTCCAGGAACAGGCCCTTAAAACGTTTTCCCAAAACAACCCAACAGGTAGAGCTGACAATGCACTGCAACATAAACAGGTGTGTTATCTTCAGTAATTTATGGTTGTTATAATTGTCCCAGTTTGAATTGATGGAAGCCAGCATGGCAAGTTTTACTTTGTGTGTAGTCAAGGTAACAGTACCACATGCAGACCATATGCTTCTCCCATAAACTAACCCTCAACATACACATTCAAAACTCATTGTTTCCCTCCATTTTTACACCTATCATGACTGTGATTGGGTCAACATGTGCTGTCTCGA